AATGAAGATTATATTTTGCCTTGAAATATAGTGTTCTTTTTGTAAATATCATATTTTTTTTCTTTTTTCCTATACTTGTTTCCCCTACATAGTCTAATAGATTGTGATGCTCTACCCTAGGACTTTCCTAAAGGTTGCTTTATATTTGTGGCAGTCGGAATGGGGACTGACAGAGTGGATGGCTGAGGTCAAGTGCTGTGTGTGCAGGTAGAGAGAGAGATTTTGATAACGGCTATAAGCCTTGCTTATAACTCTCTGCTATGTTTTTGCTTCTTGTAGGCTTTCAGTGCTGAAATGGTAAAGAAATCCAAGATGCTGGATCTCAACAATAAGAGTTGTAAGTAAGAAATTCACAGGCCTACATGTAGAGGCTTCCAGCATAGGTTCATTCTGTTCTTGATCATCTGAATTAACAGAAGGGAGAAGAAGAATAAATAAGCCAAATATAGTTCATTGTGCCCCTGTTTGGATACCAACCTGCTCTATACCTGACCCTGATATTATTCTTGCTCAGTCCAGTTTGGTGATATAACAGAGGGAGACTAAGTTGCAGTAGATAATCCACAGTGTGGGTAGTTCATTCACAAATACATGTCTATACATTTATTTTTAAAAGCTCTGCCCTCCATAAGATGGCTAAGCCAAGCACCCTTTCTGCTCTGAAAATATAACTGGGGTTACTCATTAGTAATTATAGAAAACACATCTCAGTAATCCTAGATAAATGGGTTAGCCCAATGCTACTCAAGCCTGAGTAATCACTGTGATCATGATGGAAATTTTAAAAAACAAACACAAATACACAGATGTGCATAGGCCACAACTCTACGGATTGTGATAAAGGAACTCTGGGTTTGGGCCAAGCGTGTCTATTTTTAATGCTACCTAGTCACTTTTGCTACTGAGCCAGGTTTGGGATCACTGGACTAAACCAGTCCTGGTTGTTGGGGGTTGGAGAAGGATTGAGTTTGTTCTCTAATCCATTCCTTTTAGTAGGGTTTGAGTGGACTGAGATGGAATGTCCAGTGGCACAGTAGTGCTGGAAATGAAGAACGGGGAACTTTAAAAGTTCTGGTCTGGGACTGTGTTTCTTATGAGCCTGTTTATTTATTTGTAAAAATGATAATAACAGTCCATTGTGAGGATAATTGGAGATTTTATATGTAAAGATGTTCTGTAATTGTAAAGCATTAATCAAATGCTAGGAGATAAATAGTCAATGAGAATGAACAAACTCCCCAGGTGGCCCAGAGGAGGGAGAGATTCCTTCTGACTGGAAGGGGTCAAGAATGGCTTCGTGGATGAAAATGGTTCCAAGCTGGGCTTTGAGGATGGCAAGATCTTCAATAGTCAGAGCTGGTATGTGTGTGTGAGGGCACCCATGGTGAAGAAAACCCATAGGAGCGAACAAATGCAGTGTGTGTTTGGGGAACTGCAGGGAGTACAGGTAGCTAGATAAGGTAAGCTAGGTAAGAGTTTTAGGTGAGGATAATATAGAAAAGGAGCATACAAAGGTCTATATGTCACTAATCTGAAATATTAGGGGCAAGTGTCACTATTTAGTAATTCTTGAGTACCTTTGTAAAGGAATTATATAGCACAGGACAATAATTGACATTAATAATGATTAATGATGATCATCTCAGATTATTGAGGAAAGGTTAAACTATTTAGGAAGGCAGAGAAGTGTATTCCCACTAGAACTATTTAGCTAATAACTAGTTCAAATTAAGTGTGTTTTGGTGCTAGAAGACTATCCTTTAGTGATTTGAACAATTGAGTTATTAAGAAGAACAATTATTCTCTCCTGGTAATGATGGATAGGTGAAATATCACCAGGTGTTGTTTTTATTTTCTCCTAAAAAGTAATATAAGCTTCTAGGCAGAACAAGAGTTAAAGGGGGAAAAAAAAAGTATGCTCCAATTAAAAACCCCCTGTCACTTCTTACTGTTGCCCAAAACATTGGCTTTTAGTTTTACTCAAAGGGAGACCATCCTTCCCCTCTTATTACTAGGTGTGTCCTAGTACTTTTTCATAGCTCCTGGTACCACCCAACTACAATATCAGGAGAAAGATGCTAATTACCACCGTTGTCCTGGGATCACTACTGGGAGGCAGACTGTGTGAGCACTGGATGGGGCTAGACACCCACACCTGTTAGCTTCACAGCCACCACTTACTAGTCCTATAACCATGATTCTCTGAATCAGTTTCCTCGTGTATAAGATGGGAGTACTAACAGTACCTATCTCTTAGGGTTGTGAGGATTGAATAAAATAATACATGTAAAGCACTTGGGACACTGCCTAGAACACAAGTTCTCAATGTACTTTTTCCCCTCAAAATATGTTTCTGAGACTCATTCATGAGTCCAAGTTTATTCCTTTTCATTGCTACAATAATTGTTCATTGTTGAAGGATATTTGGGTTATTTCTAGTTTTTTGCTGTCACCAACAAGAGTTGGAACATTCTTGTACACATCTCCTGATATACAAGTGCGAAAGTTTCTTTGAATTATACAAGTGGTTGTTCTAGTTTTATATCTGTCATGAATATATAGGATTTCCAGTTGCTCTGCATCCTTTCCAACACTTGATATTGTCAGAGTTAAGAATTTTTGCCAATCTGGTGGGTGATTTTTCATTTCCCTGATTACCAATGAAGATAAACATCTTTTCACATATATATGGGTCATTTGTTTCCTTTTCTGTGAATTTTTTTTCCCAACTGGGTTGGCTGTTTTTTTCTTAATTATTCGAGGGGATTCTTTATATATTTTAGATATTACTTCACCTATGAATTCTTTCTTACCTGGTCCACTGCCCCTTGTTTTGCAGTTTGGGTTCAGAGTCACCCTAATTCATCAGGGAGTTTTCTTCTTTTATTATATATATTTATATAACATCTTTACCTCTTGTGGAGTGGGGAACATGAGGGTAGGTCAGAACTGGGTCCCATTTTCTTTTCTGCTAGGATATACTGTGTCCCAGCAGCAACAGCAGCAGCAGCAGCAGCAACTAAGCTCCAAAATGCTTGTTGTGAAGATGGGGAGGGGTGATGCCCAGATCCATCCTTTAAACAGTAAGAGATCCATAATGTCCTGTCACACACAGACAAGATATAATAAGGAATCCCAGGTAGTGGAATTATGGGTATTTCTTCCTTTTGTTTACTTTGATAATTTTCCAATTTTTCAATAGTAAACATGTATTATCTTTGTAATTAGAAATATATGTTTGTTTTTTTTGTAAAAAGAATTTTCACTCTTTAAGCGCTATGGCTTTCAGGGATGTTTGTTGCTAGTAGTAACAAGAGGTTAAGGAAAATCCCTTTCAGCAGGAAATAACGGTTAACATCCAGGGTGAGATCACAAGGTGAACTCATCTGTGAATTGACAAAGGCAACACAGCAGAGGCAAGATATAATAAAGCCAACCCCTTTTAAGCTAAACTGTATGTACTCAAGGAGAATGTAAACCGTGCATTTATACCCAGCACACTTCTCAGAGATAGGTACTTAATTGGAGCTGCTACTGCTGATAACAGTGACAATATCCTTGGAGTAAACACTGGTCATGGTGTTTTGTTCTGCACTGTTTTAAAACCCACCAGCCTTCTGTGGTTGCTTATGATAGTTGTTTCAGTCCCCCAGTGGGTAAAAGAGGAGAAAAGGGAAAATGGGCTTGAAGATGGATCGCCTGCCATCAACCTGATGGGACTCAACAAAGAAGAGATGTTTGAGGCCAGTGCATGGATCCAAAGGATACTGACCCTCCAGGACCACCACATCATTGAGAATAATCATATTCTCTACCTTGGGAAAAAGGAACATGACATTTTGTCTCAGCTTCAGGAAACCTCAAGTGTCTTTATCTCAGAGAATATCAGTCCGGGAAAGGCAAATTTAGAGATTAAAGGAGCCCGTGCTGACCTCCTTGAGGTGGTTATGAACATTGAATGTATGCTGTGTGAAGTTCAGGAGGAAGTGGCAAGAAAAAGGGAGCAAGGCCTTTGGATCTTGTCAGGTGAGTAACTTTCTGTTAAGTTAAAAAACCAGCTCTCCCAACTCTTCCTTCTTTTGGGTATGAGCATGCACGCATGTATGTTGGTAAGAGATAAAATGGGAGAGGAGAGGGCGAACCATTCTGGTTCTGTGTTGTCATACACTTTTATGAACCATTTTTGGCTCTCTTTCTGCCATCAGGGTTATTTATCAGTAAGTGAAAATACATATGCACACACACACACTTGATTGGATTTACTTATGATGATATAGATTGCTTAAAAGAGGCAATTACGTGGAAAACTTAGGGTAAAACCCAAGCCCAGGCCCTGGGGAAAAAGTACAAAAGTACATCTTTAATTCTACAGATGGAGCATTCAAATGTAGACACATTCCACCTGATTTATTTCTTTTACTGAGTTTTATTTGCTCAGTGCATTTATTTGCTGCTGACAGCATTAGGAACCCTACAATTACTAAGAGCCTCTCACCAAAGAAATTATTCACTGGTACCCTGAGGTACACTCAAGTATCTCCCATTCAGTGGGGCTAAACTCATCAGGATAACTGGAAATCTGGGTCTGGAGAGATCCCTTTAACAGAGCCCTAGAGCTAACTAGGAAATTACACCATTCAAAATGCTACCGTGGAGACAGAGTATTATGTCATTCATTTGTTCAACTAATGCATATTGCACCTGTGATATGTGTCAAGCATTGTGCTAGGTACAGGGGATACAGTGATAAACAAGATGGACATTGTTCCTGCTCAAAGTCTAATTGGGAATACTGACAAGCAAGCAGGTTAGTTATGATAGAGGAGAGTAAAAGTACTGTGGGAGCACCTAGGAGAGTCCCCTGACCTAGACTTGCAAGGTCAGGGAAGGCTTCTCACAGGAGGTGTCATAAATGGAGAACTGACAAACAAGTGGAAGTTAGCCAGTCATAGAAAGAGATTTTCATAATTATGCAAGACGTCAGAATTTTTATTGAAACAAATAGGGAACCTTGAAGGATTTTAAGCAAAGATAAGATCAGATTTGTGTTTTAGAAAGATCCCTGGTTGTAATGTGGAGAATGGGTTTATTAAGAGGTCCAAAAATTCGAATGCAAATTTTCAAGGACAACTTATTTTCATCATGTGTTTACAAAAATAATTCAGGAAGAAATGGTCAAAGTGAGTGGGAGTTTGCAACAAATGTTGTAGCCACATTCCACAGAAAACCCAGTGTCAAAAAACATGGGTAAAAATAATACATAAGCATGAGAACCAAGATTACGATTTCTACTTAGTTTTTGAACTGTCATGAATGTGGATATTTAAACACACAAGAGTCAGCTCAGGAGGAGAACAGGAGACAAAGAAACATTGATCTCCTATAGAGTTTGTGACTTTAACTGCATTCATAAGGTTGACCCATTCTCCCAGCTATTGGAAATTTATAGTCTCGTAAGTCCCTTGTACCACTGAAAGATGGCATTTTTGGTAGTTGATGACTAAGCATATTATTCCACAGCAGTGTTTCAGAGTTTCATGCAAACTCACCCTCTCTTAATTAGTTACTATCTTTATTAACAACAAAATAGATAATTTTGAAATGCATTATTATAGGGAACATCAAATATCCATCAGAACAATAAAATTTTAAAAATATAGAAGTTAGGCATATCTCCCTTTTATGCTGCTCTTTTATCCTTCCTGGTGAGTACTTCTGACAGCAGAAGTTGGTGGACTTTTGGGTCTCCATTGCCCAGCCCAGTGCTGGCATATAGTAGGAGCTCAGTAAATGTTTGTTGAACTCATGTGAACTGAACTCTAATATTATACCTTATAAGTGTGAGCTATTGTTCTCCAAATTTAATTTAGTCTCTTCCTTTGAAGTTTCCTGACTTTGGAGCTCATCTGCTATGGAATTTTGTCCTTCCTGCTTTCTCAGATTTACTGGGTCCTCTAGTGAGTTTCTCTGGATTTATCACCTGCCCTTTTTTTTTTAAATGAATTTATTTATTTTTTAAATTGTACATTTTTATGGGGTACAGTTTCTTGTTCAATACATGCATATATTGTATAATGATCCAGTCAGAATAGTTAGCCTATCTAATGCATTTCTTCATGGTTATAACATTCAAGATCCTCTTTTCTGGCTATGTTGAAATATAAAACACAATACTATTAGCTGTAGTCAACCTAGAGCACCAGAACTTATTCTTCCTATCTAACTGTAACTTTGTGATTTTGTATCCTTTTACCAACCTCTCCTCAACTCCCTCTCCTTTCCCAGTCTCTCGTAACCTATTCTACTCTCATTTCTTTTTTAAAAAAATTCATTTATTTTTAATTGACGCATAATATTGTTCATACTTATGGGGTACAGTGTGATGTTTTAATACGTGGTATACAATGTATAATAATGAAATTAAGGTAATTGGCATATTCATAACCTCAGATATTTGTCATTTCTTTGTGTTAAGAACATTCAGAATCTTCTTGCTATTTTGAAATGTACAGTAAATTGCTGTTAACTATAGTCACCCTATGGTGTAATGGAACACTATAACTTATTCCTCGTACCTAACTGTAATTTTGTACCCACTGACCAACCTCTCCCCATCCTCCTCTCCCCTCCTACCCTTCCCAGTCTCTGGTAGCCATTATTCTACTCTCTACTTCAGTAAAATCAACTTTTTTAGATTCCACAAATGAGTGAGATCATGCAGTGTTTATCTTTCTGTTCCTGGCTTATTTCACTTAACACATGACTTCCAGTTCCATCCATGTTGCTGCAAATGAAAGGATTTAATTCATTTTTATGGCTAAATAGTATTCCAGTGTATAAATATACCACATTTTCTTTATCCTTTCATCTGTTGATGGATACTTAGGTTGATTCCACGTGTTGGCTACAGTGAATAGTGCTGCAGTAAACATGGGTGCACAGATATCTCTTTGACGTACTGATTTCATTTCCTTTGAATATATACCCAGTAGTAGGGTTGGTGGATCATATGGGAATTCTGTTTTTAAGTTTTGGAGGAACCTCCCCACTGTTTTCAGTAGTTTACATTCCCACCAACAGCTATAATCTGCTTTTTGTGGTTAAATTGAGCCCACTTAATTATATAATGTACTGGAGGTTAAGTCATTTTAATATATGGTCTTAAGTCAAACTGAGAAGAAACCAAGAGAAAACAAGCCTATTTTGGGTTTCCATTTGTCCATTTATATATTTAGTCCAATAAAGAGATCCCTTGGACAAAAACAGGTTGTCCCCTGAATTTAAAAAAGGAAGGGAGGAAGGAGAAAAGAAAAGAAGGAAGGAAAGGAAAGGAGGGATGGAGGAAAGACAAGACACCATGGACTCTTAATCTCCAAATTTTGTTCTTCTCAGTTGGGTGTTATATGAGTGATAGTTGTTCCAAGTATTTGCCTTGTCCCCTTACAGAAAGCACTGGTAAAAGCCAGATTTATAATCTTAGATCTTTACTTACTAGCTATGTGATACTGGGAAAGTTACTTAACTTCTCTGAACTTCGATTTCTTTATTTGTAAAATTATATTATTTCGGTGGTGGTGCTGTAATGATCAAATGAGATAGAGATGAGAAATATCTTTGGAAATTCTTAAATGTTGTATAAATGATATATTGTTTTCCAGCATCCCTTAATGTTCTCTGTGCCCATCTCTTTTTGTTGATAGGCATCCTGGCTAAAAATACAAACATTTCCTATGAGCAACACAATCATATATCATCATTACACTATTGATTGTAGGGGAGGGCGTATATATGTATGATTTTTTTTTTCTCATATCCCCTCAGTGTCATGATCCAAATCATTCCATCTCTTTTTGTTGATAGGCATCCTGGCTAAAAATACAAACATTTCCGATGAGCAACACAATCATATATCATCATTACACTATTGATTGTAGGGGAGGGCGTATATATGTATGATTTTTTTTTTCTCATATCCCCTCAGTGTCATGATCCAAATCATTGGGAGACAAATTTACTACCCCTCTATTTTATCCCATGACTTCTCATAGTATTAGAGCTCTACTTGCATGTCCTAAACAATATGAGGCATACAATTTAAACTGGCTAATCTCTTCCTCCAAATTTCTAGAATTTGCTTCATTAAATTTCTTTACAAACTTTCCCCCTCTTACAGGGCATTGAGGCAAAGTTTTGTGTTTCTCATTTTTAGGACAATGGACTGATCAGCAATCAAAAAACCAGGATGAAATGAAACAAAATATCACATTTCTGAAATGTACAGTGCCTTTAAGTCCAGAACTTCAGGATCAAGAGAAACAATTTGCAAAATGTGGTTTGCAGGTTATAAAGGTATACTGAATTAAGGGGAGGCTCATCTTGCTATTAATTTAGTTTTACAGCCAAAAAAAAAAAAAAAAAAGGCTCACCTCCTGATGACTCGAAGCCAACTGCTCATTGACCTGGAATCCAAGGAGTAAGACTGCAAAGAGGGCAGGGAAGGGTAGGCACAAGGGGCACATTTGGAATCAGGAGGTAGAAATGATGTCAGGATGTACAGAGGCACAGATTCAAGATCCAGGAAAGAGCTATCTGCCCATCTCTGAGCAAAAGAAAAGAAATGGAATAGCATTTGTCACACTGTATTGCAATTGTTTACCAATTTTTATCTTTCACTAAACTGAGCTTTAAATGGGTTAAGACTACATCTGTGTTGTTGACCATTTCATTACCAGTGCCTGGCACATAGTGATTTCTCAGTGAATTTTTATTAAATGAATTTATTAAAGGAGGGGCAGGGAATTTTGAAGAGATGGAAGTTAAACTAGGGGAGGATTGAGGGCATGAGAGACTCTTATGCAACTTTTTATGAAAAACAAGTTGTATGCAAAGTAATGTGCAGATAAGCACTTTTAGTTTTGAAGCAGTGTAACATAAAATTTATGAAGCAGTTCTCTAGTCTCTTTTTCAGTTTTTCTCTTCCTTGGTTATAGGTGGAGAAGATAGACAATGCGATTCTCTTGGCTGCCTTCCAAAGAAAGAAGAAAATGATGGAAGGGAGATCATGTAGGAAACCTGTGAGCCGCAGATTGTTTCAACAAGTCCCACACCAGTTCTGCAACGTGGTATGCAGAGTTGGCTTTCAAAGAATGTACTCGGTGCTCAGTGGTAGGTGTCAGCCCCTCATCATCTGGGGCTTTATGTGGGAATTGGTGACTAGATATCAGCAAATGGCTCATGAATAGCATTTGTTGCTATGGGGAGAAGATTATTTGTGACCAGGATTTAGAGGTAGAGTCTTTTGGAAAGGGTTGCATTTTTTCTTTTTCTTTTTTGGTGGGGAGGTGGGTGGCAGCTGAAAAAAAAGGGAATCCGAACCCTTGACCTGCACTCTAACTAATTGCGTGAACTGGCCAGCCCCATATATTTTGTTGATGTTGTGTTTTATGTTGATAAAAGTGTGAGCAGTAAGATATACAGTTCACTGTTTTTCTCATTTCTGTGTTTCTGTGTCTTATCTGCAGAGTGCACTTTGGGGATTTCCCCCCCCCTTATTTCAACAAAATTATCACCAATACCACCAAACCATCCTCATCCCTTAATTAAAACAGCATTTTCCTAAATTTAAGAAAGTTGGTTTTTTTCTCACCCATCTTCTTTATTTCCTGTAGTCTGTTAGTGAATGAATTAGGTATGATCTGGCAGGTGAAGTGTATAACATCTTAAGATTCTTCTCAGCCATAGGAGTGCTAAGTGTAGCTTTCATTTCTCTTTTCAGTTGTACAAAAATATTGCATACTTAATTGCTATATTGTCCCCTTTCCTCTTCAATCACCGATGAAAAATTCTGGCTGTAGATCTCTCCAAAGGATGCTCAGAAGTTAAGTAACAATCATGGAGGGGTTCCTAGCAGTGCAGCGTGATTTGACCTAATCCATTAACTATATGGCTCTTGATCTTTATGCTTCAAAATATGTAGAATGATCCTTGCTGTGGAGCCAATTCCAGTACTCTTGGTTTCTAGAAAGGAAAGGGTCTGGAAATCATCTTTTCTTTGTCCCAGTGAGAACATAGGTAATACTTGTAAAAATTGAACATATACAATTTCTAGGGGTAAAAATAGATAAATGAATTCCCAAGGGTGCATCACCAGTAAAGTGATGATCAGTATGGTCCCTTCCTTAGCAAAGTCTTAAAAATCTACAACTTTCATTTGCTCCTAAACTGGCTTCTCTGTAATCCACACCCACTTAAACTACTCTCACTAAGAGCATGACTATCCTACTATTTTCCAAATCTAGCAATTACCTTCTTTTCAGTATTGGGGCAGACACTGCTAATTGCCTACCCAACATCTATAAACATCTTTCTTCCCAAAACATCTATTCACACACCATCCTCCCAAGGAAGACAGTCTCAAAGTCTTATCCAGTCTCATCATCAGCGTCAAGTTCAGACAGTTTTCTCTTAAAGCAAAGGCAAGGCATGGCCCCAACATACTCATTAAATAGTGATATGAGAAGGAGCAGGAAAACTGCAATCCAGATTCCGGTTTTGAAAGGGGAGAAGGAAAACACACAATAGTCACTGGTCCACACCACTCATCACATGCTGCTGGATAATGAGAACTCCCTATTCTGCGAGTGGAATAATACTTGCTTTGCACTCTGGGAAAATCTTCTGCATGTACTGAGACCCTTGGCCATTTACCTTGGCCCTTGGCCCATTGCCTTACCAGGGTGCCATGGATTGCCTTACAGGCTAGCATGCACTTCGGCCGTTGCAGCCAAATTTGTGGTTTCTGTAGTAATACAGTTCCATTAAAAACTCACCAGGCATGAGGCCTATTTGCATCTGGTCAAGTTTGTGTCTTTATAACCCAGTCAAAGGTCTTGTCTCCATAAAGTTTTTAAGCCTCAAGATTTTGGTCTTTTACCTACTGGCCTCTGTGCTCTGCCCATCTCCCTATCCCTTAGCTTAACAGCCACTGCCTTGAGGCAGTTCAGACAATAGACTCAGTGGGAAACACTACCCATAGTGTGAACTGTGCCAATGGACTCACACTGCGAGCTGGTGAGAACTGTCAACAGACAGTGCTAGACAAGCCCAGGAGACACCAGTACTATAACCGTTGAAGCTCTCTTCATTTGGAGTATAAAAGTTCTTGGCTTTTTCAGCCCTGCAGTGTCCCAAATCTTAGGACTCTAAATCTTCTAAGTCAATTTAGATGTCCACTCACAGGAAGAGCAGGCTTCCGTTAACAAAACTTTATCTTCTATTTTCTATCTAAGTTTGCATTCTAGCCAGTTCTGACTTAATTTCTTGTTTGTAGGACTTGGTTGAATGCAGCAGGAAGGAGCCTACATACTTGCAGTTTCTTATTGGGTTCATTCATTCATTCCACAAGTATTTATTAAGCACATTCTTTGATTAGGCCCTGTGCTAGATATCTTATTTTCTCTTACAATATCTTATTTTCTCCTCTATCATTTATGGTAAAAACTCCATACTCTGAATCCTTCAGGCTTTTAGCCTTAAGTTCAAAAAGCCCTTTACCTCTCATAAAACCTTACTCTAAAAGCTAGAATTTCAAGACCATATTCTCCTTTTCTGAATTTAATAATTATATATCATATATTAAATAATAATATACATCATATATATCATATATACAAGGATACTTCAAAAGTTTGTGAGAAAACAGAATTGAATGATAACACAAATTTTTCCATGAACTTTTTGAAGTACCCTAGTGTATATTCACACACGTATACATACTCACATATATATTATACATACATATATTATAGATATGTGTATGTATGTATATTCAATTGGATTTGTTCTAATCTTTATCTTTTTTGCCCTTGAGGTAATAAAATAGCAAGAACTGAAGGGGTGGAGGAACAAAGAGCAAGAAGAAACTCCTGGGAAAGAAAATTTTTTATTTTTATCTCAAAATATTACCTTGCCACATAAAATTGTACTAGCAAGAACTGAAGGGGTGGAGGAACAAAGAGCAAGAAGAAACTCCTGGGAAAGAAAATTTTTGATTTTTATCTCAAAATATTACCTTGCCACATAAAATTGTACTATATCTTCTCTGTTTCCATCTGGGGAGTTCCTTTTGTGAACTTTTGAGAACAGGGATCATATCTTAGTCATTTTTGAATCTGTAGAGCTGCACCATTTGACACAGTAGCCATAAGCCATATGTGGCTTCTGAGTGCTTGAAGTGCAGCTAATCTGAATTGAGATGTGCTGTTAAGTATAAAATACACACTGGATTTCAAAGACCTACTATAAAAGGAAAAAATGTAAAATCTTTAATAATTTTTATATTTATTACATGTTGAAGTGACATTTTGAATCTAATGGGTTAAATAAATATATTAATCTCACCTGTTTCTTTTTACCTTTTTAAATATGACCACTAGAAAATTTAAAATTACCTATGTGGCTCATGTTCCATTTCTACTATTTAGTGCTGCTCTAGAGCCTAAAACAGTGTTGGTTAAGTACCACGTAAATGTAAAGAAAGAGGGAGGGGGACCGAGCCCGTGGCACACTCGGGAGGGTTCGGCGCTGGGAGCACAGCTGCGCTCCCGCTGCGGGTTCGGATCCTATATAGGGATGGCCGGTGCACTCACGGCACTCACTGGCTGAGCGCGGTGCGGCCGGTCTCAAAAAGGACAAAAAAAATAAAATAAAATAAGAAAGAGGGAGGGAAGGAAAGAAGAAAGAAAGGAAGAAAAGAATGGAGCATATGATCTCAAATTAGTTTTCATTTTTTTTCCCCTCTAAGTAAGGTTAGAAAGGACATTGAACAGGGATTCCTTCAGGTCCAGAATTTGGCCCTCAGCCTCCTGAATGTTTTTAATACTCTAAAGAAGATAATACAGATCATAAACAATATGCCAGAATGGAGAATATTCATTTCCAGTGGTTGGAATAGGGCACATCCTCCTTAGTATCACAGTCCCCAGAATGCCTGATGGGTGAAAAATTGCCTGGTGAGCATGGACCTAGATTAAAAGTATGTGGAGATTCTTTGTGAGGTATTGTGGCAGACCATGGTGAGAACTGACAACCTATTACTGCCCCACATTACAGAATACTCCCCTAGTGACCAAAATGTATATTTCTCCAAATCCACAGTTGCTCTTTCCAAATAATGAAGCAGGCACAAGGAAATTTTATATGCTCAAATTCCCCTTATTTTGACATATTTTTCTTATAATTCTGTTCATGAGTTTAGGAGATACTCTGCCTTTTCTTATTAGATGCTATTTTCAAGCTGTATTCTTTTGTTTGGTTTTTGGTGGCTGGCCAGCATGGGGATCCGAACCCCTGACCTTGGTGTTATAGCATCGTGTTCTAAACTACTGAGCTAACTGCCAGCCCTTCAAGCTGTGTTCTTAAGAGTTCTAGAGTTTTATCCCTGTTTGTAACTTGCAGAAGTTGGTCAGTGTTCTAAGAGAAACAACCTTCCTTCCATTATACTTTCTCTGTCGGCTGCTTAGTTGATAATGTTGACTTGAATATTAACCTCTCTGAATCTCAGATTTTTCATCTTACCCAAACCACAGATTAATTGAATCTAATCAATATAAAAATGCTTTGAAAACTACTGATGTATCTATAAACTCTAATGTTATATTCGAATGTAAACTATTATCATGTTGATGATATCAGTGATAATTTGTCTCGAGGGAACAACTTTGAGTGCCTTTGCTACAGACATAGGAACTCGGGACCAGGTGAAGGTGATTATTTGGAGGACTAGAAATACATATTAGTACCCAAATAGGCAATATCATTTACTAGATCATAATAATCTTTTTGATTTCTTTCTTTTATCAGACCCAAAATATGGAGCTGGCATATACTTTACCAAGAACCTCAAAAACCTAGCAGACGAGGTCAAGAAAACGTCCACAACACATAAGCTGATCTATGTGTTTGAGGCTGAAGTACTCACAGGCTCCTTCTGCCAGGGTCATCGGTCAAATATTGTTCCCCCACCACTGAGTCCTGGAGCCATAGATGGTCATGACAGCGTGGTTGACAATGTCTCCAGCCCTGAAACTTTTGCTATTTTTAGTGGCATACAGGCTATGCCTCAGTATTTGTGGACTTGCATCTGGGATTATGTAAAGACACAGGATTACTCATCACAACCAATAATGTCCTCTTCACAGCCACCTTGGGGGAAATTGTCAAGTGGCAGCTCTGTTGATTAATCTCCACATCATTTTAACAATTGGCATGGTCAAATAATGACTCAGTGACTCAAAGAGTTGTTTGAATATGTCAAATGGGTTATCTGTTTGGACTGATTGGGTTAGTGAAGGGACTAGCCACATACTAGCATCTTAGTGCCTTCATCTTTATCTTTTTCTCTTGGGGTTGGGTGGGTAGATATCAACTAAAGCACTCTCAGGACTGTTCCTTTTCCTTGCAGTTGTTCTTTTATCCTTTACCATAGGTAACAGCAAAAATGTTTTACATGTAATAAAGAAATTTTTCTAGTATATAACCCAAGCCTTTTATTTTCTAAAAGGATTATAGTATAAAATATTAGGACAGCAGAACGATTTTAGATTTTCCAGAGAATCTTATAAAGTGCTTTAGATATCGAAATAAGTCACTTTTGTCTGAGTAACTGGTTCTGAAAAATTATCTCTAAAATGAAATAATTTGAAGTGGAAGGACTTCAAAAGTCTGATATTCTATTTGGATTTGGCCATCTCAAACAGTGCCACTCAAACACCACGAGGCCAAATTATTAATTCACTAAATATTTATTGACCACCAGATGTGTTTCAGTGCTACAGATATGATGCTGGACAAACGTTCTCACAAACCTTTTAGCTTGGGGCCGACCCCGTGGCGCACTTGGGAGAGTGCGGCACTGGGAGCGCAGCGACGCTCCCACTGCGGGTTCGGATCCCATATAGGAATGGCCGGTACGCTCACTGGCTGAGCGCAGTGCGGGCGACACCAAGCCAAGGGTTGCGATCCCCTTACCGGTCACGAAAATGACAAAAAAAAAAAAAAACCTTTTAGCTTGGGGCCGACCCCGTGGCGCACTTGGGAGAGTGCGGCACTGGGAGCGCAGCGACGCTCCCACTGCAGGTTCGGATCCCATATAGGAATGGCCGGTACGCTCACTGGCTGAGCGCAGTGCGGGCGACACCAAGCCAAGGGTTGCGATCCCCTTACCGGTCACGAAAATGACAAAAAAAAAAAAAACCTTTTAGCTTGAATAATTAAAAAGGCAGCTATGGGCAACTTAACAAGTGTGATCAGGTATAATAAAGGGGGAATTAAAGAACCTTTGGAAAGTTGTAAGAGAGAGAGGGATAAATTAATCAGGGGTTGGGGGAAAGGCCTCCTCAAGAAAGTGGAATTCAAGCTGAGACCATAAGGGATGTAGCAAACCAGGGAGCGAGTAGTGTACTTTATGCAGAGAGAATAGCTATTTAAAAGGCTGAATCCACTGTGACTGTGCCCAAATTCGACTTCAGAGTTCTACTTGCAATGTAAAGACCTGCTAATCTCACCATGCATCTCTTGCCTACTTTCAAATCCATGTTTCTGTGTATTTCCAAACTCCTGACCTCACATCCTCAGCCTCTTGCACAGACACTTCCTCTTCCTTCTCTTACCTTAACCAGCATTCTCACTCTTGAAAGAAGCATGATTATTGCTTCCTGTGGTACTGCCCTTGGGTCTGGGCAAGAAGGGCCCTCCCTTTATCTCTGTCTTGAGAGTTCTCCTGCCTTGGGCCCCTTGCTTGAGAAGGTTCCATTCTAGCCCTCCTCCAGCTATGCCTATCCTCACATAGTGAGGAGACCACAGGGCCAAGAAAATGGATCCATCTGGAGCCTGCACTCCTCACTTCTAAGACCTAGGTACCTGGAACCCCCAAACAGCTCAAGCAGCTCTGAGACCACTCCCCGGGCCTGATTTTGTCTCATTCTTGGGTCTATCTTCCTGAGGGTGAATTATGCCATAGTCTGCATCAGGAAAGGCCAAGGGATGACCATTTGCAGGGATGGGGTTTGAACACGGGAGCTGAGGTGTTCACACACGTGCACATGAGGCCTGGGGTGCAGAGCTGAGATTGAAAGATCTAGCTTATGTTTAATAGGAATTTTAAAAGAGAACGGAGGAGAGGCAATGCTCACAAGGATAAGTAAAAATAAATCAAGAAACAGTGAAACTGTATACCACCAAAGAGGTGACCTTAAAAGCAGCCAGAGAGAACAGCCAAATCATCTACAAAGGAAAGACAATTAGAGTGACAGCATACTTTTTGTGGTAGGCAGAATAATGTCCTCCCCACCAGCCTGCAAATATGTCCACACCTTAATCCCCTGAACCTGTGAATATGTAACCTTACTGGGCAAAAGGGACTCTGCAGGTGTAATTAAGATTACCTTCAGATGGAAAGATTATCCAGGTGGGCCCAATCTAATCACTAAAGTTTTTAAAAGTAGCTTTCTCAGTAATGAGTAGATGACAGTAAAAAAATTGTAGGAATATAGAAGATTTGAACAACACACAGATTTTATCTAATGTACATGTATAGAACCTTCCACCCAACAATTAGAGAATACATATTCTTCTCAAGTATACACCTAACAGTTATGTATAGTGACCATATTCTAAATTCAACAATTTTGACCACATTCTCAATTAGGCCATGTTCTCTGCCCATCATCCATTATGCAATTAACTCAAATTAAAAAAAAAAAAAAAGATAGCTTAAAAATAAATATATTTGGAAGTTAGATATTGTCTTCAAAGTAATATCTCATGGGTTATGAAAGTGTAACATAAATTAGAAAATATTTAGAACTAAATAATAAAAATATTACAAATACAGCTTATAACATAAAGCTAAAATAGTGCTTAAATTATTCATAACCTTAGAGCTTATATTAAGAAAAAATAATAACAGAAATTGAGTTAGGCATTCAACTTAAGGTATGAAAAAATAAGAATAAACTTGAAAGAAAGAATAAAAATAGAAAATAATGAAATAGAAACAAAAACATCCAATAAAGTCGATAGTTTTTTTGTAAAGGTTAAAGAAATAGACAAACCTTTGGTAAGATTGTTCAAGATAGATGAGAACATGTACAAATAAAGAATTTTAGGAATAAAAAAGAGGGATGTAACTAAGATGTATAAGAGATCTAAAAGTAGTACGATAATACTAGAAACAATTTTGTGCTAATAAGTTGAAAATTTAGACAAAACATACATTTTCTTAGAAAAATATAGCTTACTAAAATTGAAGAATAACTAGAAATCCTGGATTTTCTAATACCTATTAAATAAACTGAATCAGTAATTAAAAATTTACCTACCAAGCAAACAACTAAATACAACAGGCTAAGATGATTTTGATTTTACTAATGAGTTCTACTACATATTCAATCTTATATAAAATCTTCTAGAGAGCAGAAATATGGAGAACTCTCCCCCCCAAAATTTTCAGGGCTAGTATAAACTTGATATCAAAAATAGAGAACGGTGGGCCAGCCTGGTGGCGCACTGCTACGGTGCGCCGCTTGGGAGCGCGGTGGCGCTCCCGCCGAGGGTTCGGATCCCACATACAGACCGGTTCCCGCTCACTGGCT